GTTCCAAACAGATTTTTTACCCGTCGTCCAAAGCGACGGTTTTCACCCTCAGACGATCGGGTTTCCCATCGGTTTGGCCCGATGGTTCGACCCGTCGGTTCAAAACGGACGGAAAAACCGATCGTGTAAGCCCGGCTTTAGGTCAGGTCACAGCGATCTGAAGACAACATAACTTGTCTCTATCCTGACATTCATACAATTTAAACTTAAACTTATATTTTAGATAAGCCTGGCCCTGAAATTCAATAATAAGCATGAGATGGATAGGAACAACTCACTTGTGCTTTCATGTAGACACATGAAAAATCAGCAACATTTCACAGTTTTTGGTTGGTACAACCCTCCAGGAAACTGCCCTCCCAATGAAACCCAGGCAAGAAATATCCAATACCATTCTAAAGGTATACTTCAACAACTCTTCTCCAAGATGTGGTTGTGTAAGATCGATATAATCCAGAATGATGATCAATAATAACCTTTTCTATATACAACCTATGTGTTCCGCACCTCCTCCAGGTGTAAATAGATAACAATTATCAATAGGAATATATAACATAGAAAAATATATTAATTAATTAAATATTTGGGTGGAGATGTGTATGATGGAAAACTGCAATGGAACCCTGATAATTTACCATGAGATTATATTTAACAAAATTATTGTATGTGTACATGAACTTAATCACATTATTTTAATAAATTCTTTAAATACTAACTGATTTTGAAGAAACTTTATTCATTTTCTCATACTAGATTTTTAAAAATACATAAAGCATTATACATACATTATGGACAAAGCACCTCCTCTTATATTTAGATCAACAACCATTATCTGATTTAGTTACTATCCAAACACATCTGAAAAACCAAGGCCTGTTTTCTCGATGAAGCTGGTCCATGTGGTCACAGAGAACTATTAGTCACAGTAGCAAAATTGCCATGTAATGAAAACGAGTCCCACACTGGAATTTTAATAAGGCAAATTGGAATAAAAGAAAATGCTTACTGACTCCGTTCTTCATAAATCTGTGATCACAGCCTTTCCACAAATATCAATTATGGCTCTAAACTCAGCCATTTTCCAGAGTACTAATAAATATTTTCTCCATAGTCAAATAAAGTAATTCAAACCTTTTTGGTCCTTAAAACGTAATGACATCTAGAAAATATGAGACAAAAGTCCGAAGAGATAGTTGCAAGTGGAGAGCTTAAAACCATAAGAGAACACCATGTGATTTTACAGAAAGAAATGAAAAGTGCCAAGTGTTCTATGTTTAGAGCCTTTGAAAAGACAGAATAGAAGATCATTGATACATATAATGCTTAATAACATTCAGAAAGGAAAAAAGCATTACAACATGACATGAAGTATTGCAGAGATGTTGCTAGTTTTTTATATAAAACTAAGGAAATATTAGCCATGTATAAGAAGACAATTCTTTAGCAAAGCCATTCTAAAGTAACCCAAGAGTTTATACTACTATATACTATATAAATTTGTTTAAAGCTCTTTTAATATCATGGGAATTGTACGATACTCTGTCTCTATCAAGTTGAAGAAAGAATCAGGACCTGTTGGAATATTTCCAGAATTATTAATCCAACAAGACAATGAACCATGAGTTAACTTTACACAAGCCAAAGATGAATTCTAAAAGATGTCAACACTAACAGTTTTTGTCAAATACATACTATATTCATTTTATGATGCTTATTCAAGTGTTTTTATGCAATCAATTAATCATATGTTAATTAATTAATTAAGCATACCCACTTTATGGAGGCTAAATATGCCCCAGGATGATTTTGCGACCTCAAGGCTGATCCACAGCTGACGAAACAAAATAAATCATTATCTCGTGAAATCTACAGACTCAACCCTGGGCCATTGAGAACAAGAGCAGATTGCCTTAATAACTGAGCTACCCCGATTCCAGAAAACACATTAAACTTACATTAAGTATATTCAATTATTTTCATTTTCTATCACGCAAATTAATAATATAAACATTGAAGTTTTATAAATTAATAAAGGAGCCAGTATAGCAAAGTGGTTAGCGCACTATACTAGTAAAGCTAAGATCGTAGGATCGAATCCCAGCCCTATTTCCCAATACGGCTGATCCCGGCAGAACCATTACCCTCTTAATTGGGGGAGGCCTACAGGTTGCTAAATACTTGTAAGAACAGGATTTTAAAAAAAAAAATTAATAAAATTGCCATTAATAAAAACAAGGTCAGAACTCATCACAGAACGTGTAATTTTCACAAAAAAAAAAAAATCAAATTTATTACAGGCTACAAGACATATAAAATTTATCTAAAATAAGATGATATTTCAAGAGCAGTTACAGTGATAATAAACCTCAGATCTAGATAGTTATTTGAGGGTTTAGTATTCAAATAGACTTGAATGGTGTTAGAGACATTAATCAGTAATTTATAAAAAAGGAACCTTAAATCAGATATAGCTTTTAAAGGGCATCACATATAAAATAATTTAGATAAAACCCTAACAAGTAACTAGACGTATCTGGAAAATGGTGGCAAATATTTGAAGAAACTAACCTTGCAGACCACAGTTTTATTTTCTATGAAACATTATTTGGCATATGTGAATAAAATAAAAAATAAATTATATTATTTATCAGTTTTAATAATTTTTTGAATAGTTTAAAAAATCAATTCTTTACAACAAAAATCATAAAATAATTATAAACTAAAAGAAATTTTGCTTATTGTTTGTAGAATGTATGGTTTACCATACATTGATTTATCAAGAAGGAAATAGTCTGGGGTTGGTCAAAAAATAGGATCAAATATTGATAACTATTTATTAAAGGGCCAATGTTCTGACACGTATGTAGGCCTCTTTTTTCTTCTTGAGAGCACTATTTAGAGGTTAATAGTCAAGTGGCAGTCACCGATTCATTTGTGTTTTCCCTGGAGTTTTCATTGTTTAATATTGTTAATTGTAATAACAAAAATAATATTAATATAAAAAAGTATTACTTATATTCTTACATAAAATAAATAATTATTTAATAATACATTTAAAGTGTACACAAAATGTAAAATTTCTTTTAAAAAAATATAAAAACCAAACATCGTGTGATGTTTGCACTGAATTGTATTGGTCAGTTTTTCATAATTTGCAGAAAATGATTATAACATGATAATCTGAAACATTAAAATAAGAGATGGTTATATGAACCTAACTAGTGATTAAATAGGTAATTGAATGCAAAATTACCAATATAGTAATTTAGTTTTCTAAAAATTCATCGATATTTTATATTCAACCATTTTTTATAGAATTTTACAAAGCAAAGTGGTTAATTATTTTAAATTAAAAAAATTAAAGGTACTTTAGATGACGAAATAATTAGCCATTTTAGCCCTATTATAGATCATCAATGAGAATAAAACTTATATTATATTAAAAACTGCTTAATTTTACACTGATATAATGAATTCAATCCAAATTGCTAGAGCCATTTTCGAGAAAATCATAAAAATGTGTAAAATCAAAAATATAAAGTGCCACTTCATGTTAGCTGAATTTGATGAAATAGGTGCTGAAACATCCCAGGCATATACAAACCTTAAATATGCAATTTCACTTTCCTAGGAGTTTTCTTTTTTGAGCTAGACTGTTAATACATACACACACACAGACCATTTCGTGGGACATGGTTATTTCGACTTATGGAACCTCAAAACGTGTATTTCTGTTGAAAACTCGGATTCGAAAATTTTCATGATCGCAATACTTTCCCCAACTATTCCTCGCATCGCTATTCATCCTCGTTGTTCATTGAAATCCTATTCCGTAAAAAACAACAGGATGGAGATGTCTGCAAAAGATTGCCAACCATCCTGATAAAAAGGGAGTGATTTGTGATCGCATATGGTTATTATAACTCCCTGGATACCTATATCAATATATATAAGAGAACCGAATGATCACACCTGTTGCCTAGAACAGCCCCGTAGCTGCTAGAAGACTAATGGCAGAAGTCAAATAAGTCAAGAGGAGTTAGAAAAAATATATATTGAGAGAGTAAATACCTACATAAAATATTATTTTTTTATTTGGTTGGAAAGTTTCTTGTTTTACTGGCGTAAGTTATATAATATAACTTCCTTCGGATTGTAATTATTTTATTGTTTATTTATTACATCTGTTGGGGCTTTTGGAAAATGGTATTCATCAGAAATACACTAGTTTATATATTTGTAACTAATATTGCTGATCTGTTTCCCCCCCTTTTTTTTTTCAGTTGTTGACATAAAAATAATAAAATGAACAAAGGCCCCAAATTCTATAAAAAAAAAAAAGAAATTTTATATATTCACAAAAGAAGCGCAGCAAAAAAAAAAAAAAAACATTCTAGGAATTATTAAGCAATTCCCATAAATTTTCTAGTTTTTCCCGTACATTTCCCGGTTTACAGGAAATTCCTGTGGGTTGGACACCCTGTGATATTATGACTGACTCTTGGATCATATCCAAAAAGAAAATATTGAAATACATTAGCAGAAATTTTAATTTATAAAAAGTTGACAGCATTCATTAAAACATCCAACATGACGATCACAAGTTCTAAAAACAGACTAAACAAAAAACAATATTACTTTGTTGGAAGTAGGATCTAACAACGCCACATAAAATGATAACAAACAAAAAATAATTAACAAGAACTATAAATAGTTATTTGAACAGTCAACACTAATTAATCAATCAAGGTTTCAGGAAATTTAACTGTAACAACACAAATTGATTTATAAATAAATAGCTGAGAAAATTTAATTCAGTTTTATTAGTTCTTATAAAAGCACATGAACATGAAACTAAGCACATGCCATTAGATCAGGAAATTTCTAATTCAATATATTTATTAAATACAAAACAGAAATCTCCTGATTGTGTTGGAATCATATCAACAATTTTTTAGAACACAATTATCACAAAAACTTTTTGAACACAATTTGCTCACCTTCAAATGGTATATAAACTCTTCTGTATCTATATCAATTCTTTTCCTCTTAGACTTCGTCGAAATAACGGACAGCCCAATATCCACCTGGCCATGAATTTTACCCTTGGATAGATCTTGAGGACTTTTTCCATATTTTAATATTCCAGTTTCCAAAATGAAGAACCTCTTTAAAAACATAGAATTAATTAAAATCATGTTTAAATAATAAAAATAATAAAAATTCTCATAAAATCAAATACTATTGATAAAGATTTGACCACTTTTACAGCAGTTACATATAATATTTAATATGAATAAAAATAAAACTTAGCGAATAACATTTTCTTCTTTTACCTAAAAAAGTGGTCCATTTTACAATACAAACTTAATAAATGGGTTTCTACTAATTAGTATAAGATAATAGGGAAGTACAATAAAATTGTACGGCTACTCAACTGTGTTGAGTTGCTAAATCACTCAGCATATTGATCCGTCATAATCGATACCATTTAATAAAAGAGAACAAATAGGATAAAGTATTTCAGGACCATCCATCATCCAACGTACCGATTGTTATAATTTATTCACTCACACTTTTTTCTGTAGAGTTCACAACAATGCACCCAGAATTAATACAGGTGGTGGTGTGGGATTCCTAATGAGTCTAGATTAGACTCATGTGTAGAAGAAACTACACATTTGTAACATGACAATCATTATCCTATATTAAAAGATATCCTAGAGATGTGTTCTTTTCAAAAGCTTTAGAGGTTTATCAGAGATAGGGTGAACCAGAAGAAAGGTTGGGAACTAGTGGGAGTGTGAGGGTATAGAATTCATCTTAAAGGAGAAGCATATTTAACCTGAAATAAATCTGCAACTTATTTGATACTATGAACTTTTTAGTTATAAATTTTGGTAGTGAGAATTGGATATAGGATGAATTGATGGTATAAGGGAGCCCTTAAGTTGATTTCAGTTACTTTAAGAAGTTCTAGTTAGAGAAAAATAAATTGGAAGTTTAGAGTATTTTCAATTGAATGCTGAAGTAATGAAAATCTATGTAAGTCATTTGTACATCTGGAGCCCTAGGAAGAGGATCTCGTATTATTAACAAAAACGGTGGCAGTAGGATACTTTTATACAAAGTACAATAATTTAGTCACTTCAAGATAGAAAATGTAAGACAAGAGATACAGTAATAGTTATTTCAGGAAAGAGTTTGGTCAAAGCTGATTCTGAAGTTTTTGATGGTTGGATAGAATTCCGTGGGATTATTATTTAGGAATTGTTTTATGAATGTGATTGGAACCAATTGAAATTTCTATTTTTCAATTGAAACTTGTCTGCTACTGGCCAGTGATTTTTCGATTCAAGCCCTCTTGTACTTTCTTAGTGACAGGAAGATGGGTAGAAGATGGAAAGGAAAGATAGATTTGAAAACACTCAGCAAAGATTTGGTATTGGGAGTGCTCAATGAGGGATGAAGGTTATTAATACTTTTTTATTTTTGGTTTGTGCTATTGACAACGTACGTATAACTTTGACCACGCAATGTGGTCATCATACAGATGTATATTGCTTGCAGGAGCACAGATAGCTTGGAGGGGGTCACCCAACCTCACTGCTAGAAATAATGGTCTCTATAGTGCAGCGGCAGGCCACTCATAGCTACATAACCGGTCCCTTTGGGACCTATCAGGCAGTGCCTTTCATCCCATTGGCTAACTCGGTTTCAAGAACAGTGACAAATTGATCTAAGTCCATGGATTACAGCTGCTCAGAATCCGCAAGCACATGAGGACCTATATTTCATTTCCTGAAACAGACCATCCATCATTGGACTCAATCTCTAAGGGAAGAAACCACACCGTGATTCCCGATTTAAGTACACAGGGAAGGTCATCACTCCACTGAGTTAGTGTGAATTCCCTCCAGTAGTCTTAGAGATCACACAATCACAGATGGAGAGGGGGGAGGGGGAAGTAGTGGTAGAATCTCAGGCAGTGTGGATTTCTCCTTGGTGTGGTTGGTCACATATTCAAGTACTTACCACACTTAATGTTGCTAAACTATGATTGCCTTAGCCCACGAGCCATCTTGGCTACCTATAAGTAAAGGGGAATATTTAAAGGGATGAGAGCATACCTCAAGAAAAGGCTTATACAAACAACCTTTTCCAAAAAAAGTAGAAAATTTAGGTTAAACCTCAACTTAAGCAATATAAGGCTAATTAAACAAGGAAGTTTTACTAAAAGTGGGCTATCTGTAGTATAGTTGCATTGTGATAAAAAATCACAAATGATTCATGTTTCTTTTTTTTTAAAGAAAAGCAGAACTTAACTTTATTAATCATTTCTTCATAGTTAACTTTGACAAAATTTAATTTAAATGTGAGCAGAGTCTGTCTTTGTTAAAAAAAAATATAAAGACTAAACTATATTAACTTCTGTTTGTCATCAAATCATTGATTATTTGCAATTTTATTTTTACCCTCCCACTCGACTACAGTTATCCCATTTTTATGACAAATTCCTTGTTTAATAAGCTTTAAGGTACGGAAGCGACAACCATTTCATATTGCCAACTGTTGATGCTTGTCTATTTCGCTGAAACTGGTAACCGTTACGGCCAAATCCTCTCAATATTAGCATCTAGCCTCAAATTTAATGTTTTCATTTGTATCGGACAGCGATACATATAATGGCGGAGTTTTGATCTTATTTAATTAATACACTCCACTTTTTCTGGTAGTTATAGTTGAAAAACAAGGTCGGGTTATGTCTATTATAAAATTTTACCAATTATCTACATATTAATTCCAACCTTCTAATAATGATTCTAAAAATATCTTGAATAGAAAATATTTGTTTCATGATAGAAAGAATATGACAAATTATTATTAGTATCATCATTTCAGTAACAAATATCATTTATTTATAATGAAATCACAGCAATGTTTTGCCATTTTATCAATAGGTAATCAATAAATTAGCACTTTAATTAAAAAAGACAAATTTATTTTTCAATGTATTTACTTTATGTACTATTTTTCTTTATGTATTTACTAGAGGTAAAAATATTTTAGATTATTTAATGTCGTTTGGATTTATTTAGGTATATTTGAATTCCTCTGTAAAACATTTTTGGTGTAATAAATAATCTTGTCACAATAATCTTAAAAAAATAATTTACATTAGTATCCTCCTGAGAGTTATACAGCTAATTTAAAAAACATTATATCATACTAGGAATTCTTGAAACCAGAAAAATAGCTTAGACTATTTAAAAAAGCTTCCATCAATATAGACTAAATGGCACCACCAAATCAGCTGATTATGGTTATCAGTTGAAATGACATGAAAAAAAAAAAAAAATTGGAGTAGCCAAGTTGTTTTTATGGTCTAAGGCAGGGGTCTCCTAACTTTTTGGCTCGCCGGCCACATCGTGACATCCACTAAATCCCGTGGGCCACATTGAGACTATAAGCAGGTCATGGCTTGTGATGAAAAAAAAAAGTTTGATCTGTAAATAACACTTACTTTAGTAGGGAAATGAGCTTTATAAAAGAAACAATACATGAAGTAAATGTTTGAGTGATTACTAAATTTCATATTTTTTAAATAGCATTAAAATTTTTACAATAAAATCAAAGAAACTTTCGAGGGAATGATCCAGCCCATGGGCCATAGTTTGGAGGCTCCTGGTCTAAAGAATCCAAAGTAAATTGCTTACCTTCGTCTTTACAAATATACTACTTTATATGATTATTTTTGTGTACCTTGTGCCAACCCTTTAGTGGCCATTTTCTCTTTTTCTGGAGATATCCTTTGAAAGGTTCTGGCTTCTTCTCATATCGCTGACCATCCTTAAGGCCTTCAAGAATTTCCCACTCCGAAGTCCTCCTAGGCAAATGCTTGCTAGCTGTCAATGAAAGAAAGTTCTTTCAATCACATTATCTACAAAAATTTGTTTATATTGGTACTACAGGAAAAAAAATTAGAAATCCAAAGAGACAGAAATGAAATCACGGAATTTTTCGATTTTAAAAAGAAAATTCTGTTCATTGGAAGTAAAATTTATAAATCACCTACATCAAGATTTCCATGACATTAGTAATAAAATTAATTTTAATAAGTGAACAACAGTAATACCACTTACAAGATGCACTAGGCTTATCTGCTAAAGATTCTTGTGACAGGCTGTTACTATCACTTCCATCCTGTAAATAGGAAACATTTGTTATTTATACATAAGTAATAAAACTTTTTCTAATTTCAAAACAAATACATAGATTTTTTTATAACTTACATAATAAACAAATTAAACGCTTTTGCAATTAATAAAATGTTAAAATTCTATCACAACTACGTAAATCTATTTTACATATTCTATCACTAAATTATCAATTAAATTTTGAAATTTATAATACACTGTCTCAAAAAAGTTTCCATACAGTTAGATATACTTTTACATTGCTAATAATATATTAATTATATTATTTTTATTAATCAAAAGGGTAGTAGAGGCAAAGATGTATCAACATGATAACAAGTTCATGTTGGACCACTAATCTCATTGCAGGAAGAGATAAAACTTTAATCCAAATGTCAAAAAGTTTCCATACATCTATAATATCTTAATTCTATTTCTATTCAATTCCATTATTTTTCTCAAAACTATTATCTGAACACAAGATTCAAGGTTTAGTTAAGGTTCAGCCTACTTCAAATAATTGTCATGCATGTACAACAGTTTATTTATTACCAAAGTGTGCAGTTGAGAAGTCAAGGATTTTCTCTCTGAAAAAATGGAATTTATTTTACTAAATAAATTGCATGCAACTGTGCAATATGTATTGAACTAAAAACATTGGAAGACAGGTCATGATCAGGCTGTCATGAAAATTAAACAGGATTCACAAAAGGACAATTCTAAACCAGATGCGTAAAAATCCAGAAACTGACAGGGATGCTCTGAGAAAGGAAGGTTTTCATGGATGAATCCCAAGAAAAAAGTCCTTCATAAGCAAAACAAATAAGAAGAAGAGGTTGACATTTGCCATGAAGTATGCCAATAAGCCAAAAAGTTTCTGGGATTTTGTTGTCTTCTCAGATCAATGTATTCCTAAAAATTCAAGGGAACAATTTGAAAAGTTCTGCTGAAAAACTTATGGAGTTATGTCTATGTTTATTTTTCAAGAGAACAACAATCCTAAGCTCACCGCCAAGAAAATAAAACAATGGTTAATACAATGTTTCTAAACAGTTATACACTCCTCCCCAATCACCAGACATGAGCTCAGTAGAACATTTGTGGGGTGAATTAGCACGGCAGCTCTATAGGCAGAATAGGATTCAATTAGCTGTGTAGTAGTTCAATTAGCAAGTAACTAAAAATTGGTCCATAGTATGAATGATAAAATAATTGAAGTTTTAAGGGCAAAGGGTGTTTCACAAGGTATTAAAAAGTGAATAATATAAAGTTTGTGTAATATTTTTGTCATGTATGGAAAAAGTTTTCACTTAATGTTTATGTTATGATATTGTTATATAAAGAAAATTAAAACCAATCCATAAACTGCCTGGTCCATGTATTTCATTCCTCCTGATGGAGGAATTTAACACCAACTCAATTTAAATATAAAATTAAAATACTAACTTTATTTGTAGGGGGTGTGGCATTAATTCTTGGCCCTCCCACCTGGGCCGGGAAAAACCCAGTACAGACAAAAAGGCGAGAAAGATAAGAAAAAAAATTTATTTGGAGATACACAATACTTTAAACAACTTAGACACACCGAAACTTATTCTGACTTGTATAGTACTTTTCTGCCAAGAAAACAAACCTACATACCAAATTTCATCTCATTTGGTTTGATCCAAAGGGACCGCTGGAGGTGTCGATATGTAGCGGTGAAAATATACACATCAGACATCCCCAAAACCTCTATAATCGTGTTCTAAGGTTGCTAATTTATAAAAGGATAAAATAAAATTGATCTTATGTCTTGATGGACAGTAAACTATACCACAAAAGGTACTTTCTATTGAGAGTTTACAAGTTATATTTTCTTTTCAGATATTTCGGCAGTTTGGATTTTTAATTTGTTTTCTTTACTTCACTAAAGTCTCCAAATAATACCTTTGAAGGACTGCATAGGTTAACTACAATTAAATTCATAAAATGTCGGCAAAAAAAAAAAATCTAAATAAGCATGGTAAAGAATAAAGAATGGCTCTAAAAAAATGGACATTCTCAAATCAGATAACTCCGTGAGCTTTGCTATGAGCCTAATGTAGGGATAAATTAATTGAGAATGGTCACTACTTCTTACAGATTACTACTGCAACTGATGAGCGTCATATATTGAAAAAATAAATACATATATATGAACGAGGGTCATTACTCAACACAATACACTTACTTGGAGTTCTCAACAATCATATCCCAATCGGCGTTAAGTAAAATATTCAGAAACATGTAAAGCTAAATAACTCGTTTTAAAAAAGAATAATATCAACTTATTTGATTTGGTGTTAAATATTATTATTATTATTATTATTATTTAATATTAAAAATAAAATTGAAAAAAAAACTTAAAAATAAAAAGAAATGTGACGAAAATGGTACGATTCTACTTCCATTTTTAATGTATTCGCGCAAGATAATCCCCATTATGCTGCATGTTATGCTGTTTGTCAACTGAAACATAACTTTAAAAAATTGTAATGATCATTAATGAAGAAAAAATAACCAATTGACGTAAAAGTGTAATTTTTTAAATAAAAATGTTAATTTGAACTTGAATACTTAGGTAGGAGGAGAACGATCAACAAAAAACTGCTTACAGAAATTGGTCAATCAATATCTCATGATATCAAGGCAAGGAGGTCAAGACAGGCGGGAATGTAGCTCGGAGCAATCCATCAGAAAACCACTGCACAATAATGAATTCCTCAATAGTAGACAAGAGACCAAGTGGAAAGCCAAATCAAATGGATAGGATAGATCGACTAAACAAAGATGGTGCAAAGCTGCATGCATACATATGGAAAGCAATAGTACAAGACGGGCAGAGATGTAGGCTAGTAAAGGTGGCAAAAGATATTCTATGTAGACCCACATTCAAGCGCGCATTACACGACTTTCACTTACCACCCTCTTCTTAGCAGAAATAAGTATTTTCAGACAAAGGGGAAGTGTGAAAGTAAAAATTATTGACGCTATATTTATTTAAATTTCATTGTGGGTATTTTTATTTGTTTTAATACCCATATATGTACAAATTTTAATTTTTATATCGCTGTGTTCTATATAATTAAATATTAAATAATACCAACGATAGCACTTATGACAACCGCATATGTACATGTACATAATATTGTCGGAGTCCGTATTATATTAAGCTGTAATTAATATAATTATATTATATTAATACGCATGGAAGTGTGTTCTAATCTTTCGGACGAGCTCGGGTGCGCTCGTATTCCTTTGGTTCCTCAATTACAATTATTCTCCGTTACGATCTCTTATTTCTCCTTCAATTATTTATCAAATTCTTTCATATTTTATATTTAATCATTCTTCATATTAGAAATTAATGTGAAATGGTTTATTATTTCAAATAAAAACATTAAAGGTACGTTAGAGGAAGCTAATATTGAAAATTACCCATTTAAGCCTTGTTAGAGAACATCAATGAAAATAAAACCTACATTACATTAAAAATTGCTTAATACTACACTGATATACTGATTTTAATCAGAATCGTTAGAGCCGTTTTTGAGAAAATCGTAAAAATGGGGTAAATCGATTATATAAAGTACCACTTCAGGTTTGCCGAAAATATTGCTGCAACATCAAAGGCTAGTAATAATCTCAAATAAGCAACTTCACTTTCATACGACTTTTCGTTTGTGAGCTAGATACATACTGATCACATACATACATACACACACACTGTGTGCGTGCGTGCGTGTGTGTTTATTGATTAATAATTGATAATAAACAAAAACAATAAGTAAGAAAGTTGTTTATTATATTATTTAGCCACATTTTATAAAAATATTTCAATTACTTCTACGTTTTTTCTACCGAGATGATGATTTACCTATTCTTATCCAGATAGCCAGAAACTCAGAAGAATTGCTTATGGCTACTGGATTACGTTTTGGTTCTGGTATACTGTGTAAGACAGAACGGTAGTTCGAAGCAGTTTTAAAACGCTTTCTATTGAAGGACGGATTCCCCAAAAATGATTTCACTCTGATGAAACTCTCAATTTAATCGTACATTTTGATGATACGTACGATTTGCTGTTTACACGCTTCGGTTTGCTTACAGGTTTTTGTTTCCGACAAGATGTACAATACGTAGCGTATAAACTAACACTAGAAATATGTGAAAAGTTTAAGGTTGAACTTATTGGAACAAAAATTATTCCTCTTGTAAATTGAAGGCAACATGATCCTACTTAACATGGTAAAAATATACAAACGAGCTGTGCGTAAAATATGTTATTATCTCCCGTCAGCTTGAAAAGAAAAAACATTTAAAAAAACAAAACAAGAGCGGTATTGAATTACAAAACATTTTATGCTCAAAAAGAATATCATACAGAATTTTTAAAATCACAGGTAAATAAATAGTAACTGAAAAATTGAAAGATTTTTAGTATTGGAAATAATTTTTTTATTATTTTAGCACATATTGTTAAAGTATAGTTTTAACTTTAACATGGGTATTAGTTTTTTTAAATTTCTAATTACAGAAATAATTAAAGTTTGATTATACAGGGCGTCCTGTAAGTATAACCAAAGAAATAATTAATTTAAGTAATTACCAATTGCTTCACTGCAAACTAGAAAAAATTTACTTTAATTGAAAAGAGAATTTGTCATTATTAAAACCATTTAAAGAGGACATTTTAGCCGCTAAACTAAGCTAAGTTCTGTTTTTAAAAAAATCATAAATGATTCGCGATTTTTTTTATCATCATCCAACTATACTACAGTTACCCTACTTTTAGTAAAACTACCTCGTTTAATAAAGTTTAAGTTTATGTTAATTAAATTGAGATTTATTGAGCAAAAACTTCAGATTCACCTCGAGTTATATAAAGAAATTTTCTATCCAGTCACCTAAAAGTACCACTGTTTTCAGCAAAATGACTACAATTAAATGTTAAAAGTTTTCATTTCTTGTTTTTCCATGATCTGG